GCGACTCGGTTCGCGGGGAAAAACAACTCCTCCAACTTGCGCCTATAAAGGAAAGAAAGAGACCCCCCCCCCTCCTTTCCCATATTCGAGAAAAACACGTGCTTCCTCGTGTCCTCGTGCGTAAGCTCGCTGCGGAAACTGTGCTTATAATTTTGCGGTATGCAACCCTCCAAGGAAAGCCCATTTCGGAAATCCTATAATTCGAAACGGAATAGTTTAATATCTGTCGTGTATCGAATAAGTACACTGTATGGGAGAAAAATATTATATTATTTCACGTTATGACTGTGTACGGGTACGCATGCGTAATTAAATTGTTTTTTACCACTTTCTTTTCTATTCTATGTATATTAATTTAATATATGGCGCGTGTCACAAATAAGAAATTGCTGTGGACAATTTTGTGGCAAACAACATTACTGTTTCAATGGTGAATTAAAAATTTATCAATCCCCCACACATCATGTGCGTTCTCTTTGTCCGTAGAAATGGAACACTTATAAAATATATAAATATTATAACATCGCGTATAATATATACGTTAGAACGTATTGAATAACATTTGCAGAATATGGACTTGTGAATTAATTCCGTGATGAATTGTATTTTTTCCGAAATAGGCATCTCGAATACGCATCGCCATCGGAATTGAGATATCAAGGCGTGATTATATTGCGAAGATGAGTAATAACGTATTTTATAAATTTATTCACATGATTTAAATAAATCAAAGGTATTACAGTTAAGTCTCACGACACATGCGCAGACGCTCGCAGAGCGGCTTGCTTCTCGCCGGATCGCGCGGTTGCATGCCTTACGCTTTTGTTTCTCTCACTCTTCAATGCTTGCCCTCTCTTCCACACGGTGAACTGTATCTTACACGAGGCGCGGCGATAAAGAGTGTATACTCAATATACATATTTACATATCGTACAATCATCTCTTCTCCATACATACACGCGCGCGCGCGCATACACGCACACGCACACACACACACACACACACACACTCTTTCTCTCGCTCTCTCTCTCTGTTCACATTTTCTCACTCTTGTTCTTTCTCTCTTGCGGACATATAAAATTACAAAAAATCATCTACCTAGTCGAGAATTTCAGAATCGAAGCTAGCATCATAATCCTAAGACGCGGCGAGGACGTGTCGAAATGCGACGCGTGTCGATTACATATATGTTTATGTACAATGTACATACGTACACGTGATAAAGAGCGTTATTTACAGATTCGTCGTAAGTAGTAAATATTTACAGCGTAAAATTGCCGCCGCGAAAGGGACGGCCCGATTTGCGCACGATTGCGCGAACTTTGAGATCTTTGGGCGCGTTCGCTAAAAAGTTACCTAATAAAATGGGGTTTACAGAGGTTCACAGAGAATCTCGGAATCTTTGATTTAATAATAATAATAATTGATTCTTGTGTCTATCTCAAGTCGAGTATATAAGCAAGTAAGTAGTAAATTTTTTAATATTTGATTTTAAATGCAGCTTGCCTTAAAGAATTTCCATAATATAGTTAATGAATTATTGTGTAAAAGTATTATTGAAAAAGTTTTGTTAATACATTTTTTGTTAACGAGAAATGAATTTAATATATAAACGAGTCTTGGGACACTTTGTACCCGAAGTGTATATTCATGAGATATTCAGAAATTACACAGAGTCGCGTACACGACTCTCAAGGTAGGCCGAAAGTTTTATTACGTCGAGCAAAGCGAGGGAAGACGGGCAGAGAAATAATTAAAGAAAAAAGGGACAAAAAGCAGAAATAAGAAGGGAAAGAAGGAACGTCAATCACATTCTGGCAATAGAAAAAAAATCGCAATTCTCATTGAGCAAAAAAAAAAATCAGCGACTCATTATTGCAACAGACATCCCCAAAGTCTCCAGAAACAATTATGATATGCGAACGTTCCGTCTCTCGTCCCTCGCCACGACGTCTCTAAACTATGTACACGTGTTTCGCGGAGGTTCGTGGCTCGGCACGTGCGCAACGTCGTCGAGAAATCGCAGTCTATCGAAGTCGTCGGGCGTACGTCACGTGGACGAGCACGAGATCTAGCACAACCTTTCGAAAATGAGCTACCAACGCTCATCGCTATCGCAGTTGAGTCGCGATCCCGCCTCCCTCGATCCCGTGAGTACGGGGCAACAGCAGGGTCGGCAGCAGGGAGCTAAACTAGATAGGCCTGTCCAGAGGTAGGCGGGGGAGGCGGTGGCGGTGGTTGCTGTTGCCTCCAGGCGGTTCTCTCGAGAGTCGAGTAGTCCGAGTCAATGGACGAGTAGATGTGTTCGGACAGTGGTCTCCTGTGGTCCTCGCAGTTGGCGGTGTTGGCGGCGGCGGTGGTCATGACGAGATTACCGACCGGCATTGCGTCCCGGTAGGCATGATTGACGGTTAACCTGGGCTGCGCCGGCGACGACGATGGCGGCGGCGGTTGCGGCGACTGCTGCTGCTGCTGCTGATGTTGCTGCGGCAGCATGGGGGAAAGCGGGGCACCGCCGCCGCACGAGTAGGCAGGCGGTGCGTGTTGCAACATTAGCGCCGATGAAGCGTCCTTGAAGAGCGCGGCGCGTTGGCCGCCACGCAGCGTTGATACCCCGGTTTTCTCAAGACTGCCAACACCGCCGTCCAACGTATAGGTGTTGATGTTGCGCTTATAGACCAGCGGCGAGGATTTACTCTCGACGGATACGTCACCAACGGCAGTGGTGGTAGTCGTAGTATTGGTAGCGATAATCGCGGTAGTTGTGGACGACGGTATGGCGTATCTCAATCGTTCCCAAAACCTCTTCTCACCCCACGTGAGTATAAGCGCCGCCGTTCTCAAATAGGGCCGCAGCTCGGGATCGCGTTCGACTTCGATGCCAACGTGGCCGGCTTGGATGACGATCAGCTGAGAGGCACGGCCGCGTAATGCCTCGTGCAATGCCGCGCGAAACTCAAAGCGCGACCACTCGGTTTGAAGGAAATCACGAGTAAGTACGATTAGCACGCGTCGAGACGCGTCCACCGCTTCGAGGACAGCCGGCGCGGGTGCGGAGGCGCGCAATATGCAAGGCAAATCCCGATGATGGAGGCAGAGTCTCAGACCGGTCGCGCCGTGCTCCAGCTCGACCGCCAATGAGTGCAAAACAAGTCCTCGTCGTTCGGACTATAGCACACGTAACAATCATAGAGACGATCACGATCGGCGTCGCAGCAGCCTGCGGTCATCGCGGCCGTGGGGCCCATGCTTGCTGATGTCGCGGCCTTACCAGATTTTGTACGCAAGAATCGCAATCCATACTTGGAATAGGCCCAGGCACCGACCGGTTCGCGGAACACGAACGCGAGCACTATGATCACCAGGAGAACGATAATAGCCGAGAGAGTAGCAGCCACCAACGGCAGATAGTCCGATACCATAATACTTTCGATGACGCCGCCTTGAGCGAAATAGTCCGAGCAGGCGGTCTCGTTGACGTTCAAACGACGCCGGTAGGAAGGCCTGGCATCGCCACCGTAATAACACCATACGTCACCGGCGTCAATGACCTTGTGCGCGTTATCCGACACCCAGGAGGATAGCTCCTGTAGAAATTTGCAACGACAGGACCATGGGTTGCCACCGAGCGATAGTTCAACTAATCGGGCATTTAGAGTGACTTGCCACACTGGGAAAGTCACTAACCGGTTGCCGTGCAACCTAAGGATTTCAAGCGATCGTAGCGGCAGAAACGTCAAATTGCCGATGAAACCAATCATGTTGTTCTGTAAGTAGAGTTCACGCAGATGCGACAATCGCTCGAACTCGAACCCTTTGAGCTCACGTATCCGATTGTCTTCGAGATGCAAAATTTGCAAGTTGTTGAGGCCGTTAAAGGTGCGATTTTGGATAGATTCAATACCACTGGCGTTCACGTATAATACACGCATGTTTTTACGACCGATAAACACGTGATTTTGTAGCTCCCGCAGCACGTTGCCGTCCAAGTAGACCTCGGTGGCGTCCATCGGTATTCTACGTGGAATCTCTTCGACTCCGAGACCCGAACAATCGACTGCGTTTGTGTTCCATGTACGATCGTTGTAGCACTTACAGCCAGCCGGACAGGTCATCTCGCAATCGCAAGCATCAAAATCGCAACAGTGGCAGAGAGCAAAACAATGCGCCTCGTAGCGACAGAGAAACTGTTCCGAACGTGCAGTCGAGGCTGGGACGATGGCAACTCCCCGCGGTCCGGAAGTACGGCACATGGCATTATCGAGGTCCATGACGCGTGGATACTCCCTTGTCGAAGTCTGATTATTGATGGCCGGTAGCCAATCCATCGAGCAATTGCAATTGAAGGGGTTCCCACCGATGTAGAATTCCGGTAGGGGTTTGTTTTCTGGCACCTTGGTCAATAGCAACGACGTCAACTCCATCATCTCAATCATGTTCGCGTACATGTCGACGCGAGTGAGATTCACTTTGTCGGCGAACGTGTTCGGTCGTACGGTACTGATATAGTTGTTATTGATGAATAATAGTTCCACACTGTCCGGCACGGACAACGGAGAGAGCTCGGTGATGCGATTATGACTAGCGTCCAGAGTCTTCACTTTAGAGTCACGAATTTTGTAATAATTTCCGAGGCTTTCGATGAAGTTGCCGTGGATGTCGAGCCACTTGAGATTAATAGGTATGAAGGCGTAATCGAACCATTCTATGTGGTTTTCCGATAAGTTTAGCAGCAAGAGGCTGGTGATACTGGTGAATACACCGTTGATGTCCGATAGAAAATTGCCATCGAGACGAATAGCCTCTAACTTGATATTACGCTCAAACGCTTGCCTTTCCACATGTTGCACTTTATTCCGGGCCAAATTAAGAATCTGTAGATTTGGTAAATCCCAGAGCATACCTTGCGTTAGATTGCCAATGTCGTTGCCAATTAGACGTAAACCGGTGAGCTGATGGAGATTGCGGAAGGAGCCATTGTGAAACTCGCTGATCCGGTTCTCGCCTAGATCGAGAGTCTTGAGGAAGGCGAGGTCGCGCAACGCGTCCGGTACGGCGGTGAGTTCGTTGCCACTAAGATCCAATTCTTTGAGATCGGAACAGTTGCGAAACGCCATGGTGTCGATGCTTGAAATCGAGTTCCCAGACATAGTCAGACGATTTAAGACAAACAGGCCGTTAAAGAGCTGCACACCTATGGTATGAAGCTTGTTGTCGGATAACTCGAGCGTATGGAGATTGTACAACGGCAGGAAGGCATTACTCTCGATACGATCGATCGAGTTATTGCGTAGGTCGAGGATCTGCAGGAAGAACAAGTCCTTGAACATGCGGGCATCGATATATGTCAGCTGATTGTATGAGAGATCGAGCACGATCAGACGAATGAGACCAAGGAAGGTGGTCTCGTTGACGCGATCGCTGCCAAGGCGATTGTTGGCGAGATTCAGCACCAGCAGCTGTTCTAAGTGGGTGAACACGCCCTCCGGGAGATCACGTAGGCCATTGTGCGCCAGGTGTATTTCTCGCAGGTCGCGCGTGGTTTTGAACAAGTCCTCGGGCAACGAATCCAGAGCATTGTGACTGGCATTAAATATGCGCAGGACGGTGAGTCCGTGTAGAGCGTTCTTGCCAATCTCGGTGATCACATTGCGTTGCAGGTGTAACTCCTGCAGCTGTCGCAGACTCACTAACGGTCCGTCATCGAGCAATTGTCTTAATTGGTTGCGCGATAGGTCTAAGATTCGGATGTCGGCGCGACAAGATTCTCCGTTGACGTCATCACGCACCGTCAAACCGATATCATCAACGTCGTGGATACGATTCCCGGTAAGGTTAAGAGTCTGCAGGTTGTCGAGTTCGCAGAGCAGTTTGGGGGGTAATGCCAAAACGTTGCTCTCAACGATTTCCAGGGTATGAAGTTCGCGAAGACCCCGAAGGGAGCTTGGCGCAAATTCCAGATATCTGGCGGCACCCCAGGCAGCGTTGAACGTCTGCACGACAAGCCGCTTGAGATCCGGCAGCGGCAGAAACGCATCCTCCGGAATACGCAATACTTTGCAGCCGTGCACGTGGAGTTCGTGCAGGCCGGCCAGTCGTTGCCAACTCTGCGCGTTCAAACTGCTCTCGAAGTGGTGTACGTCACTACAGCGGATTCGTAATTTGAGCGCGCCGTCAAGGGACGGCGCCAGGGTGACGATCGCCGTAGGGTCCAATACGCGAAGAGCGCAGTCCGCTGAACGGGTGTCATTGCCAGCCTCGTTGGTCCACCGGCAGGCGGCTGCGGCCGGGTCAGGATGCGTTGATATCAGCAACAATAGCAATATTGTTGCCGCGAGCAGGCGACGGAACGGGGTAGTTGTGTTCATCGTCAACGTTATCATTCTCGATGTCGATGTTGACGATGACGATGACGATGTGGCTGGCGATACTGTCGACGATATTATCGACGACGATGTTGTCCACAATAACGACATCGTTGTCGCTGCCGTTGTCGTCGTCGTCGTCGTCGTCGTCGTCGTCGTCGTCGTCGCGACGACACCACCCTTCGTCATGTTGCGTCGCATTTTTACGCAGAACAGAACTACCTTTTTGCTTTCGATATCAACGTCGAGTCGCGCGTTTGGGCAACGGCGGCGGCGGCGGCGACGACGACGACGACGACGACAACGACGACGACCACCACAACGACATTCGCTTCAGCAATTTTGGAGTAACGAGCGGCCGTCCCCGTTCTTCCTTTTTCATTTACGCAACGCACACGCGTATTCGGATGGCACACAAACTCGCGACTCGGCACGACGGCGACAACAACGGGGAGGACGAGGAGGCCGACGACGACACACGCACGCACGCCACATACATACGCGCGGGGCTGCTCCACAGAAGGGAGAGAGAGAGAGAGAGAGAGAGAGAGAGAGAGAGAGAAAGAGAGCGCGCGCGCGCGCGCTCACGCACCTCGTATCACGTATCAAACGCGGAGCGGCCCATTTCCCTCGCCCTTTATCCGCGGGTTGGCCACCACCGCGAGCCACCCCGCTGCTGCCACCCCGGAACGCCGCACCGTTTCTCCGTTTTCACCCGCGCTTCCGCGAGCCCTCGTCACCACCCCCGTGTAGATCCAGCCAGCGTCGTCTTCCACAGTCTCTCCGCAGGTCACAACTAAAATATATTTTCTTCCCTCTCGCAATATCCCTCGGATATCGGATATTCGATTCTGCGGGGTGTCAAAGCGCGTGTATTTTATCCCGTTCTCTCACCGCGCGCGCGACGCGGTGATCAACCCCCGAATCGTGTCACGATTGTGTCACGAGTAATCGCGAGAATCGCTTCCATCCACGACGATCAACGAAAACAAGCCAACGTACCAGCGCGAGCACTCGGAGCACTCGTGCCGTATCGTCGCGCGCACTCGCCTCGCATCGAGCACTAGCACTGAACCCGTGAGCGCCTGAGCGCGCATCATCGGCATTCCCGACCGTTGCAGTCCCCAGTTTCCCCCGCTTCCGACGGTTCTAGATGGCACCACCTTCCTGTAACTGTCGTCAAAAGCGGAGGGGGGAGAGAGTCGAGCAGATTGACATAACTGATGATGTCGAGAGAAATTCTAGTTCTAGATTAATTTTTTTAAAAATAAGATCAATAAGATAAATTTTATGTTGAATTTCGTATGTGAAGTAAAGAAAGTATGTTTTTTATGTTTTTATAAAATTTAAAAGCTACTCTAATTTAGTTCTTTCGAACAGTTGAAATTTCTATTTGTATTATATTAAAAATTTAAAAAATATCTTTCGAATAAATCGCGAAATGAAGATTAATGTTGATGTTATTTCGGTCAAATAAATTTTAAATGCTATAGGAAAAGAAAATTTTATCTTGAATTTATTGTAAAAATTATATATTTATGGGCTATTCATAAAGTTCCTATCGCATATTTTGAAAATGTACTAGTTTAATTGTTAGAGATAGAAGAAATTGTTAGAAATAAGAAGACAGAAGAAATTGAGATAAAAGAAATTGTTAGAAATAAGAAAATATCTGAAAGAAAGATCATTTTAAACAAAATAATGTCTTTCTGGAAATGGAAAAGAAGATTGGCTACGTCATGTTTATTATGTCGTGGTTATCCTATTGCATAAAAGCCTCTAACATGTTTTAAATACACGTAAAATAGAAAATGAAATTTATTTTTATTAAATATTTACATACTTTGCGTTGCTTTTAATAAAAATTTTAATATAAAATCAATCGCACAAAAAATTTCATGATAGTTAATATGGCGTACTTTAATGATTCTCTTTTCATCCCTTAATTTGTCCAGAATATCGCATGTTCCATTTGCGCAACAGACTTGTTTTGTTTACATTTTCAGCTTCTCGATACTAGGAAGTACGAATAACAGAATTATTTGATATTTTGCATATTAATTTTTACATATTCTAATATTTTTTTATACATTTGCTGCTTTGTTTGCACTTTCTACACTCTTCTTCTTTCTTTTCTCGCTATTCGCATACATCTATCTCGCTTTAAGTATAGAAAATATTAAGGTGCAAATAAATTGACACTAACTTCGTTTAAAATAAAGTAAATGCGTATTCATATATCGGAGAAAAGAAGGAAAAACAAATTGGATTGTTAGGAGCCAAAGATAAAACGGGTAGATCTGAAGAATAGCTCAATTTTTCGCCTAGGGATTATTTAGCTACGTAGGGATTATTTACTTGGCGCCGTGACCTCTAGCACCGTCGCCATCTTTACGCTGGACGCGGCGATTGCGACTGTTGGTCGTTGCGTTGTAGGTCGTTGCGGCTCGCACGAGGCATTCGCGATCAGTCCGGTGGCGGTTGCGCGTTGTGAGTGTCGTATGTAGTCGTCGCCTGCGTCCGTACGTACCGTATCGTTTTCGAGGAACACGAGGGAATCCCGGGAATTTCGTAACTCCCCGAAAACACCAAAATGAGGTCGGCTTACGCGATTTGCGCGTTACTGGCCGCGTCTCTGCTCGTCGACAGTGGTAAGTCGAGCGTCCGATTATTGGCGCGCACCGACGCGGAGTACGTCGCTTATGCGTGCGTAGTAATTGGGGTTGAGTGCGCGCGATAACGGATCGAAGGCGGCTGGATTCCGCCGTTTTTCGTGCGACGCCTCCCCGCGTCGGGTTACCGATGGCGCGTCATCGAACCGACACTCTTTTTCCAAAGAGTGGACGCGACTTTTGGAGATTGCGTTCTCACTGCGTAAGATGCGAGAGTACACTTGTTTCCTGACTTGCGTCGGGATCCGTTGGTAGTATACACGATCGATTTATAAGAGAAGACCATCGTTTCGCGCGTCTAGAAAGTTTATAGGAGTGTCAAGAGAGAGAGAGAGACGAAAGAAATAGATCGATCTGTTAAAGCGGCGTAGGAGGGTACGCGTTTCTTACGCATTTGACCTTTTATACGACAGCGGCGGCGGCGGCGGCGGCGGCGGCGGTGGTCGTCTCGAGCAGATTTGCTATTGATCTTCCGCCGACCACTACCGGCCGAATCTTTTGTGAACTTCGCTACAATGAGCGATAATGATCGAACGCGCGACGGTTTAATGCCTCGTCGTCGCCAGAGCGAACGTATTCGTGGGCGCGTCGTGCAAACAATACATGTATATATACATACTAAACCAAGATATTGTGCCCTTGGCAGTTAGAAATCCATAACGAAGATGTGTACTTTGTACGCGTATTGCATCTTGAGATTTTTCTTTTTTTTTTT